GTGAGCTCAAGTTATGGTGGTCTTCGTTAATCAGGAGGTGGTGACCTAGAATGATATCAAATTCCTCCCCTGCATTTTGGTCCTAGTATGTCCCTGTCATGAAGGTTTTTATGAAGCAGCATTTTTGCTATTTTTAAGTTCCTTCTTAAGACTCATCTGTCTTTTGGCACAATTTGAGAGGTTTCCCTTTGTTTTATTCTGTTTGTATACTAATATCTATTTAATACTCGATCTTTTCTATTTTATAATTGCATTGTATTTTATGAATGTGTACAGCACTTTGGTCCTCTCCGGTGTATAAAGTGCTTCATAAATAAAGTTGGTATGGTATGGTATAGACATTGCTGACATCGTTCCTCTATTTTTGATGACATATCAGAATGGTCTTTAAGGTATTTCAATCTGTGGCTACCAGAAAAACTCTCATCTCACAGCAGCTCCGTGTAATGGCACTGTCAAAAGCCTCATTAAGGCCACCTATGCATTCTCACATCTGTTTGGACATTCCTCAAGAACCACACACCACCTCTGTAGATGCCTTCTACAGGTTCACATAAGAGATAAATATCTGCAAAGTAAGTTTTGTGCTGTCGTTATGCTGATGATCTTTCAGAGCTGGCAGCAGAAATTAACTTTTAAATCCTCTTGTTCTGACACAGTGAGACAAATTGACCCTCACTGATAAAAGTGCTGTGGCTGCAGCCGCACAAAGCACACAGACACACGACGACACGAGTTCACTTAAACACACGCTCTCCTGCACTGTACATGCAGCCGCTGCACCTGGGAATTTTGGCTTAACTACAGCTGATACAAGATTTTCAAACCTGCCATGAGAAATAGAAGTTCATTTCTCCTCACTGCAGGTTTTCAGCATGATATCTCACATGAAGAGGTATAAATAGAATAAGAAAGGATAACATTGTTCTTTTTGTAAGGAAATATAATTATTTATTTCATTCACTCACTTGTTCTTGAAGCCACTGTTGAGAGTAACCTAATTCTATTCTTTTAAAATACTTTTTTATTATAACTCTCCCCTTTATGATATGTAAGCTTTTGAAGACATAACAATGATTTACAAAGAATTTCTACCATGGTTTTCCCCAAACCTGTAAGTCTTGCCAAAAAAAAAAAAAAAACGTTCCTCTTCAAATGCATTCTTTTGCTCTTGTTGTTCAGTAATACCTCAGTTAACGGATTTTCTCTCTGTAGAAGTTTCTGCCAGCGAAAGCAATTTAAAAAAAGAAACTAACAATACTTTATATAAACTTTCCTCCCAAGCCTTTGCTAAAGTTTACCTTAAAAAAATAGTAAAGGTAAACACAATGCTGGCCTTCTGAGATGATTTACAAAGCGGCGTCTTTATTCACAGAAAACAATCCTGAAGACAAAAACAGAAAGGCCACTCAGCTAGGAAAAAAAACATTCGTCCAAACTGATATTATCTAGAAAGAGCATTACAGTTCCCAGCTGCTGTCAAAGACAGAGATAACATTTTATAACTCATGCCTCTGAGGTTTCAAGAACCTAAGTTATTAAGCTGTTTCTTCATAATTATGTTGAATTTGAAAACCATCCCAATTCAGAAAGAACCCGTCCCCATTACAGCAAAGCACTGTAATAGGGACGGGTGCTCGTCAAAAAACAGAAAAGAAAGGCACCTATTGTTGGAATATTGCAAGAATTTTTCAGGACATTTGTATTAAAAGCTGAATAAAAATGGGTACTCTAAACAGAGTCTGAGTGATTTTTTATTTTGAAAAATATAAAAAAAAATTGCGGTATTCTCTCCCAATTATATCAGTCGGTGCATCTGTGCCTCTTGACACAGGTTAATTCAGTTCAAGACGCATCCTATCTATAACATCCTATCTTTGTGAAGCGGTTACAGCGACCAAAACAAAGCTACGGAGCAGACTGGACATCAGGAGCACTCTTCATGTGTCATTGACTTTGATTACGCCTAGATGGGACCGGCTTGTTGTTTTATTTTTATGCTGTTTTTATTTGATTTTATGCCAGTCGTATCATTTTACTTGATCCGCCCCCCCAGCCGGTCCTTGAAAATATTGTATGAGATATAGCGGTCCGTGGTGCAAAAAAGGTTGGGGACAGCTGCTCTGAATTGACAATGATACCACTGTTAAATAAGTTTGAAGTGGCTTAACTTCTTATGCCCCAAACTTCAGTATTGGGGAAGAAATTTATGTAGAAATGTCCAAAAGCAGCTGACACTTCTAAACTCACTTTTAGCTGTTCCTCAGAGGGCTTTGACTCTAAGAAATCTGCTATAAGGAGAGACCTAACACATTCCAGAAATATCCTCTTTGTCAAATTCTACCCACGATTTACTCAAGCAACAGTGAAATAAAACTAGAGGACGGTCTTAATGAGACACAACCTATCAGACCAATTATTCATATCAGTTACTTCCCTCAGATTTTATATAAGAGCAGTCATATTTGAAACAAACCTTGAGACGGCTTGGCTAGCTCTGACTTTCCCATTCCAGTTTCCAACTTTATGGGATTTACTTGTTGGATTTCTGAAGAGGAATTTGAAAAATCTGATCTCTGAGTTAAAAAGATGGCACCAAAACTCTGGTCTTATTCCAATAAAAAATGTTGTGGTCAGAACTAAAACTGTGTGTGCAGGCAAGGCATCCTTCAAGCTCTATTTGATTAAACCAGTTCTGTCAAGCGGAATGGGCTAAAAATCCAACACAGTAATGTGAAAATTTGCTGAGGGATAACCAAAATGTTTGATCCAAATCAAAAGAGTTTAAAAGTAAGTTCTGTCAGCTAATAAGGAAATGTAAAAATAATCAAGTGCTTTAGTGAGATTTTATGTCTGCTATGAGGCATTTTATGCTGTGCATCTAAACATCTGATTTAAAATCCACATGGCACCTGAGCTCAACCGATGTGCTGTGAAAGCAGCTATGGAAAATGTTAAAGGAGAATTCCGGTTTTTAACACTTTTAGCCCATTTTCTGTAGTGTCCAGGATGAAATCGAATGATCGACACCAAAATTTTGACAATTGGTCCTGTCTCTGCTTTTTGGCTCATGCAGAATCCCCCCCTGGGTGCTTTAGAATGGCTTCCATTGTGCATGTCCGATAATGTCCTTAAAACAACCTTAAACATTCTTTTTTTTAAATATGCTACTCACCGGGTCGTCAGCGCTGTTCAATGACGTTCCAAAAAAAGTTTCGTGAAGAAAAACCGTTCCTGTCTTGTTTTATTTAGCATTTTGTAAATCCCAGAACTATTTTTTCCGATACATCAAAACCGCTTATAAACTTCCGCTTCCCGTTCGAATCTGAAGCGTTGCACACTGCAGACCACTAGTTGGCGACAATGTCTCTATACTTTGGGAATGTATATGAATATGTCCTCCTCAAGAATCCACCTTTCGTATTCCATTTTCAGAGTTTTTTAAAGTGTTTAACAGAGAGGTTAGCACCTCGACGTCGGAGTACACAGAGTGAAGCAGAAACACTTGGGCCTTGCGAAAAGACTACAACTAAGTGTAAACAGGCCCCATTTCCGTTTCCGGTGGCGGAGGGATATTGACTATTCCAACAGAACTCAATGGGATTTACAAAATGCTAAATAAAACACTACAGGAACGTTTTTTCTTTACGAAACTTTTTTTGGAACGTCATTGAACAGCGCTGACGACCCGGTGAGTAGCATATTTTAAAAAAAGAACGTTTAAGGTTGTTTTAAGGACATTATCGGACATGCACAATGGAAGCCATTCTGAAGCAGCCAGGGGGGGATTCTGCATGAGCCAAAAAGCAGAGACAGGACCAATTGTCAAAATTTTGGTGTCGATAATTTGATTTCATCCTGGACACTACAGAAAATGGGCTAAAAGTGTTAAAAACCGGAATTCTCCTTTAATATAGATTGTACGTTACTATAAATAACAAGAGTTAACATTAGAAAGCTGCTACATTTGGAGCTATGTGGCTTACTCATCCTTTTTTGTTTTAAACAGACAAAAATCATCGCACATGTTCACAAAAAAAAAAAAAAAAAATCTGCCTTGAAAGTGATTGTTTTTCAGAGGTTCTGGGACAGCCATACTGGGATTTACTCAGAATGCTTTGCCCTCAGTATTTAGACATTAAAGGTTCCTTGACTGTGATCCACCTTGGATAGATTATCACTGTATTACACTTAGACTTATCCCAAGGCTGCACCTTCACCACAGCCTACTTGGCTGGTAGCACTCCAAATTATTTATTGTAACCATCTCATTAGCATCAGCCTACTGCTCTGGATGCATTCAAAAGTTTCTGAATGAGGGCTGCAGTAAACAGTCAAAACAAGTTACAGAGGGTATTGTAGCTAGGTTTATACAGTCTTTTCTTTTTGCATTAAATTAAATTAAAGACCACTGTCTTAGCTTTATGAAATTATCAAGGTTTGGATATTTTCTGCTGAGAGCAAAATAGAGCACAGATTCTGAAGCAATACTGATATGTAGTGAATCATTTTCCAAATTTGCAATGATCCATAAAAGATTACATTTTTGGAGTTTTGTTGAATACAGCAAAATATTTTATTGAGGAATGAATAAAGCAGACCAAAATACTTGTTTTCTATGCTAAATTTTTTGTTTCAGAATTATTATTAGTACCGGTAATGTTATTTCAAGTTGAAAAATCAATTTATTCAATTGGTATTGATTGAATACCAATTGAATTATTCAATTCCTGCAGTTTTTTATGATCTTGGTACATTTAATCTATCTATCTATCTATCTATCTATCTATCTATCTATCTATCTATCTATCTATCTATCTATCTATCTATCTATCATCTGTCTGTCTGTCTGTCTGTCTGTCTGTCTGTCTGTCTGTCTATCTATCTATCTATATATACATATATATGGTTTCTAATTGACTTACTGACATAGCAAAGCTAAATATCAACACTGTTTCTCCTAATGTCATGCTTGTGTTCCTCTCTTTTTCTCTCCCTAGCTTTAGGTCAGATAATGCTGTATGTGGATGGAATGAATGGCCTCATATCACACAATGAGACAGTCCAGTGGCTCTACACCTTGGTTGGATCAAAGGTAAAGGGAAATGCTACCGTTAGCCCTGAAAACATCTTCACTCAGCCCAGTGAATGCAAACTCAGTAATCCCGTCCCAGCAGTCTGAACTCCTTAATCTTATCAGAGGACTTCAAAACAGATTGAATCATGAACTTCATTGTCCACGTGGATTCAAGCCTCCTCTGACATTGTGGTACTTCAGCCCCCTTGTGGCCAAATTAAATGACCAAACATGAGAAAGTTTGTTTTCTTCTATTCTTAGAGCTTACAACCTTTTCATGTAAATAATGAGTACAAGGCCTCTGTTTTATATATTATATATTGAAATACTCTGAACACTGTCTATAGATAGGACATAGAGCTGGCTGTGGTCAATTATTACAGCTGATGGATTGATTGTCTTATATTTATTTATTTTATGTTTTTTTCTTCTAAAAACTGTAGTTTTTTTACCCCTTGTCCCACGCATTGTAAATTTGCTTGTAAATACAGTATTTATTTGCCACTTGGACTGTCTTCCACTTTCCCTTCTGGCCACCTCTAATAAAGACATTAATGAAAAAGATCATACAGATCTGTCAGAGTATTGTAAAAGAAGAGCTACTATATTTTTAATAGTTAGTAATAGCGAACGCCATGTTTTATGATGCTGTACAGCCCTATTTAAAACCAAACTTTTGTAAATTTTTATTCCAATTCTTTACTTTCAATAGTTTCGTCTGGTGGTGAAGACATCCCTCAAGTTGCTGCTGGTGTTTGTCGAGTACACGGAGAGCAATGCTGTCCTTCTCATAAATGCTGTGAACACTGTGGATACCAAAGGAGGTACAGGCCAAATAACATAGAAAAAATACAATAGATTGAACCCTGAACAAAACTGTTTTTACAATGTGGTATGTATATTAGTAAAGTGGTGCTACAGGCTTTGCCTAAATGCTATATTTGGTTAATCTGCTGACTCTTTTAATCACTTTATAAGTTTAAAACTACAAATTTCCCTCCAAAAATCTTAACAACCTTAATTTAAGTTTATCTATTTGGTAGCTCTCATTCCAAACCAGAAAATATATAGACAAATATATATGCAACATTAAAATAGAAAGTATTTAATATTCAAAAGTATTAAACTCCTGCATAAAAACATGTTAAATTAACAGCTTTTTTTCGTATTCACTTAAAACTGTGAATCTAACGCAGTTATGAAAAGGATCATCTGGGTAACCGCTAAAGCCTATTTAGCTGTTTAAATTATTCTGGCTTCATGTTTTCTGCTCAATCCGAGCCCCTGCATGTCAACACCTCAGATGCTTAGACATCAATTTAAACAATTGGCGAACTGAAACCTGTAGTTGTTTTGAAACTAGAGAGTAGACAGCGCTGACCAATTAATGCTGCCAAACTTACACTCACACACACAGAAGCTTCTTTGAAGAGTAGAAACTGAGGAGGGAAACCCAGAAGAAGTGATCACATCAGCTCCCCTCAGCTACTTTAAGGCTGTTTCCTTTAACTGTAGCTCCTCCTTTAGTGAGCTTTAACTACCTGCTCTAAAAGCCCATCATTGTCCTGTGGAGCGCGCTGCAGGGGCTGGTTCTCTGTGCTGGAGGGGTTAAACATCCCTCTGTCTCACCTCAGTGTGAAACCATTGCTGCCCTGGGGTTTAGAAGAAAACTGAAATTAATCTCAAGGATCCTAATGTGAAGATATAGCCTGAGCCACCAATCTTCTTTTTTTTTTTTACACCAGAAGCTACAAATATTTAGTTTTAACGCTGGATCAGAAGGCATTTGATCGCCTTTTTTTGGTGCTCTAAGATGGACAAATGGATTGGTAAAGATATATATGCCATTTAACAGGCTTTTGTCATTTTTTTTGTTTTGTTTTGTTTTTGTTTGGGCCTTTCAGTGTATGATCCCTTGTGTGACGTTTTTGTACAGGTAAAAAACTATGGTCAAATGTCATGGAGATCCTGGAGGAGAAGGATGGTGTGGATACCGAACTACTGGTTTTTGCCATGACGCTCATTAACAAGGTCAGTAAATACACTGTAATAACGACTTTACACATTGTCCTAAAACCAGATTTTCCTAATATGTCTTTTACCTTTTACACATTGTAATAGATTATAAAAAAAATGCTATCTATGGTTAGGAGTTCTTAAGACAAACATAGACTGTTTTATTTATAGAAGTGTTTCCTACAAAGCAGCATTAATTAATTAATTTGATCAATCTTATTCAGTCACTTTCTCTGTCAGATTAAATCATATGCAGAGTCGGTCTACTATTTTTTTAATGGAGAAAAAAAAACGTTAAAATTAAAGCAGTCAGTAGTTGAATCTGAATATTTATAATGTTTAATGGTAAACGGTACATACTATTTAGAATAGCTTAAGCTAGTATTGACTGCATAATAGGGAGATAAATATAAATCTCCTTGTAATAAAATCATATTTTTTTTATAAAACATCTTAATATTTTTTGCAGTGCAATGATTTTTTTTTCAGTTCCAATCAGTCTATCGAACATCTGTTGAACCTTAAACTTTCACTATTCTTAAGCGGCTTTAGATTTAAAGCAGAAAAGCAACATTATTCCATCTATTCTTTAGAATATAACCATATATTTATAACCCAGTAAAATCTACAAGACATGAAAAGGAAGGGGTTAGGTTAGAATAAACATTCAACACTCTAACATAGAATGAAATCAAAAGCCTTAATATTCTGACCAATAATTATTTCATTAATGTCTCTTCGTTATATAAACCATTGCTTTTTCAACTTTTATTATTGAAATGTTTTTGCTTTTATCAGACTCTGGCAGCCCTTCCAGATCAGGATTCCTACTATGACATGGTGGACTGTCTTGAGGAACAAGGCATCGAAACCACGGCCCGGAGACACCTAAGCAGAAAGGGCACTGACCTGGATCTCGTTGAACAGTTCAATATCTATGAGGTCAGAAATGACTCACTCCAGACTAAAAATACACCTTAACGTAAAGTTATTTATTTCTGACCAAATTCTTCTGGTTATATGACTGTTTCAACAGCAGGTTAAACTATTTTTGTTTGTTTCAGGTGACTCTTCGCCACGAAGATGGAGATAACGAGGCCCAGTTGCCTCCGTGTGCCAGAAAGGACCGACGAAGGGCTAGTGTCGGTGGTACCAATGAAAGACGAGGCCTGGAGAGAAGAAGGAGCAGGAGGCATTCGCTTCAGAATAACAAAGAGCATACATCCAGCCCAGCATCTCCAAGCAGCTTCCTGCCCTTCGGGGGACAGCGGGTTGAAGATATCAGTGAAAGGTGAGGCAAGGGAAACAATAGAAGGGAAAAGATGAGGATTTTTATTTTTTTTAAGGATATTTTGTGGGCCCCATCTTGACTAGATCCATCTACACTATCCAGAGCCGAAACTGAGAATATATCATGATTTGAAGGATGGAATAGGAGACAGCTGCTGTTAAGGAACATTATATTAATTTTCTTCATGTCAGAGCTTCTCTCTTGCAAAGGATGGCAACAGGAACCAACTCTAAACTCCTGATATTAGCTATGTGTGCTCTGCTTTATGTCAGGTTTACTTCAGAGAGAGCACTGACCTTAAACAGGACGATTTCTTAAAGCTCTCAGAGTTCAAAACTGATCTTTTGGCGAAAAATTACGTGAACTTTTATTCAACCTTTTTTATTGGACTCTACAGCAAACAGACACTGCTTTGATTTTGACTATGTCTCATTAAGGTACAATGTTAAAGCAATCCAAAGCAGAATACCTACTCGTGTTCTGGGTTGAACTCTGGTATTCAGGTTTGCTAAATTCAATCCAGCAGGTCATTTGATACCAGCCTATCCTCTTCCATCCTACCACAGGAAATTCAAGCTGCCTTTGAGGATCACAATTTTCCATATTGTTAATGAAATCCAGACAACCTGGAGCGATTCAAAAAGCACATTTGCAGGAGAGTCGTGTGTGTGATGATTATTATTAGTTAAACCAGATATGTCCTAGAGGTCTAACTCTGGTTATTAAATTAAGCCCATTTGATTTTGCCAAAAATTGTGATTTTATTCTTGTTAGTGTTGTTTTTTATGATACAGTGGATCTGAAAAAGACACTGAGGCATATTTAAGGACATATTTATATGATGTAAACAAATTGACAACTCCAATACACAAACCACACGGTTTATCCTGTACACTTTCTTTTTTTGAAAAGAGTATGTCAGATATTTGAGTATTCGCTTTGGTTTCTCACTGTTTGGCAGTACATCAAACTATAGTAAACACTTCCTGTTTTAGGTTAGCGAGGCTTATCAACATATGTTTCTTTAAAACAAATTAAACTCAGAATTGTTCATGTACTTCTTTAGATTTACCATGTACATTGCATTATATGAGGTTTTGGCTGTCCTGTCACCAGTTTCTCACAATAGTTCACTGAGATTTATTCATGTTCCTGCTGACAGAATGGATGTAACTCAACCTGATTCATACTGGTGGTCGTCACAGGGACACAGACTCCTCTCCTAACTTTTTATACATTGATATAGATGTTTTAACATATTTTTGTAGCACTTCCTGGCAGAAAATTGTACCTAAGGATAAACCAGGCTGGTAAAGGTCCATAATTCTCTTTTTGGGTTCTTGGCGGATTTTTCTGGTGTTTAAGGTGAATTCTCCAATAAAATTTGAAAAACTCCCTTTCTTATTCGTTTGGTAGTTTTGACTTGCAAAAAAATGTTGGTTACAACCGTGTTGAAACAAGATAGGCTTAATATTTTTGGATCAAATTATTATAGCTTCTTTTACAGTTTTTCTGTCAAAGTGGAGAAGAAAAAAAAAAGATTTTTACTATGCATCACAAAAAACCTGACATGTTAATTTTTAAGTGTCCATACTGTAAAGGGATACTGTATGTTACTGAATTTGTATTGACATGTAGCCTTAGGTGGTTTATGTAAACATCCATTGCTTTTTATTTATGTCATCACAGTAATCTTGTTAACATCTGCTAACATCTGTCATTGTTTGTTGCTTTTCTGCACTAATACCTGCAGCGTATTTTCTGACAAGCATGTCTCGTCTGTCTCGTCTCTGTGCGCTGTCTCCCCTGGGCCAACCATCTGCGGTTTTGCATTGTCTCATTCGAAATGTCCAATCCATTCTTCCTGCCCACATACATCCTCCCTTTCATCCGTTCATCCCTCGGCCCCCTCCTCTAATCACAGAGAAGAGGAAGAGGAAGAAGAGGAGGAGGATGAGGAGGATGAGGCAGATGATGAAAGCCAACCAGACTCTGAGCCCCCTATGCAGGGCTCTTACAGGTATTTCAGGGATTCAGTTGCCTCTGTTTTCCCCTCGTAGCATCTACCCTGTCTGAATACCTTACTCCTTCTCTGGACTCCTACTTTCTTCTATTTTGTCCTCCTAGTGTGGCTCCAGATGTAGCAGGCACTCCTAACATGTGTTTGAACTTTAAGTGTATGACCAACCTCCTCCTTAATGGCAGTGACCTGGAAGGGCAGAGAGACATTCTAAGCATCAAGACCAGGACAGCATCTCCTGTGTCCGTCGCACCTAAAAAGAGGACCTTTAGTCCTTGGTGTGTTCCTCTCTGCCACCGTTTTCTTGTCTGGTGCTGTAGTTAGAACAGGCTTCGCATATGCTCAGTATTAGTCAGCTTTGAACTTTTTTTCTGTCCCTTCATTCCTTGAGATAAAGCAGACTCAGGTGTTCTTTAGGTTTGATGAAGGACTTGGATTACAGTTGGCTCATTACTCATTTGGAGGAATATCACCACGGTAGCTTTTGTTCCTACCACTGAAACTTCAGAAAGCATAAAAGCACGTCTAATTTCAGTTTAGGTTTGATTGAAACTTTCAGTTTAGCACTTTAAATCTTAGATCAGTTACATTGCAGATATACTGTATTAGTTCCCAGCCTGTTTGATAGTTGCCAGATAAAAAATGTTGAACTCATTTGGGTTTGCTTACATCAAACTCCAAGCAGATGTGAGCCACAGCGTTAGACTTATTTTCTTTTCTGCGGTCTCTTCCAAGTATGAGGGTTTCTATTGGTCCTTGTAAATTCAAAGGTGATATTTTAATTATCAAAGTAATATTTAGGTCTTTCCTGATCGGTACAGATTTTTATTCCATTTTCTATGGTCTAAATGGACTCTACCACTGACTTTAAGGGTTTCCACTCTTAAGGTTTTATAAACTTACAACTGCATAAAAAATAAGTATTATTAGCAATTATTGCAACCCAGTCTCATGGGAAAATGTACCCCCACTACGTTGGTCCACACTGCAAAACGTAGTGGAGGTACATTAATGGCCATTTTTTTGTGGTACTGTTACGTTTCTTCTGCCTATACGTTTTCTATTGTTTTACGTCCTAGTCACGTGACTTTCAAGATTCCAGCTGGGAGAAGAAAAAAATATATATAGATGGCCGACATTCGCTCATTTTTTTGTGGAAAGATTAATAACTTGAGTTTGTTTTTGCATTAAAATGAGTTTTGATTACATTTCTAGTGAGAAATGTATAGTTTGTTGCCAGAATATTTACTCAGGGAATGTACATATTCACTTGCTTGTTCGTTTCTTGCAAAGATTTTTCAAGATAATGTGAAACTGTAACATTTTTGTATAAACATGGCTGAGATTTCTCTAACTTTTAGTGGGAAAATCAATAATTTCAATCAGTTTCTGCATTTAAATGGGTTTTTGATTACATTTATAGCGAGAAGTGTAGGGTTTATTTACATAATATTTACTTAGTGAACATACATAATCACCCGCTTGCTAGTTTTTGCTACGGTTTTTCGGATCTCGTCAGGATTATGTGAAATTGCAACGTTTAGGCTGCTACCCATCGCCTAGCATTTAGCTGCCGCCCCGATTCAACTATGAATTCTTTGTGATTTAACTCCATCTGACGGATCAAACCCTCGCCACTGCGGCGTTGCGTCTGAGGTTGATTTTCAGATCAATGCATTACGTCGTGGCATACGGGAGAAACTAATTAAACTAGTTAAAAAAAAGGATCATGGGTTAAGATCGGAGGTGTTTTATTTGGAAATCTACCGGATCCTTTGTGCAATTAACTTCCTGTTTGGTGCGATCTCATTGATGGGTTTTGACCAGATTTTGACCAAAGAGGAACTAAAAAAAAAATAAAAAACAATTTAAATACACAACCAGCATATCTGGAATCAATGACAGAGAGCATACATAATCACCCGCTTGCTAGTTTTTGCTACGGTTTTTCGAATCTCGTCAGGATTATGTGAAATTGCAACGTTTTGGCTGCTACCCATCGCCTAGCATTTAGCTGCCGCCCCGATTCAACATTGAATTCTTTGTGATTTAACTCCATCTGACGGATCAAACCCTCGCCACTGCGTGTGTTGCGTCTGAGGTTGATTTTCAGATCAATGCATTACGTCTTGGCATACGGGAGAAACTAATTAAACTAGTTTAAAAAAAGGATCATGGGTTAAAATCGGATGTATTTTATTTGGAAATCTACCGGATCCTTTGTGCAATTAACTTCCTGTTTGGTGCGATCTCATTGATGGATTTTGACCAGATTTTGACCAAAGAGGAACTAAAAAAAACAAAAAACAATTTAAATACACAACCAGCATATCTGGAATCAGTGACAGAGAGCGACTGGGACCAGAAGTTTATCAATTTCTCCCCACTGATTTCCATTCAAAATGTTTTCGATCCCACCGGGCTCTAGGGAAGGGGCGGGCATACCGCCACCTACTGTTCATGAGTGTGTAGCAACATTGTTTTACATCTATTAAATTCTATTTTTTTAATTTTGTATTCTGAAGATAAATAAATAATGCTTTCCTTAATCTATAAATATCTTTTATATTTCCTTTATTTCCCAATAATCCTTTAAGACTCCATTCTTGGCCTGTCCTCTTTTCAATTTCTTCCTTTCAGGTCCAGATGTTTTAAAGTTCATCAATACGTGTTCTATATTTTCTATCTCTCCACATCCTTCACATTTATCATTATTTTTCCTCCCTATTAAGTATAAATTAGTCATTTAAATAAGTATGACCTACTCTTAATCTGATCATTATTATTTCTTCCCTTCGGTTTCTCTCATTAATATTTCTATTTAATACTGACTTTTGTACTTTATATAACCTTCTTCATTTTTATCTTCATTCCACCTTTTTTGTTTGCCATTTTTCAATTTCTTTCCTCTTAATAAATGATTTTCCTTCCCCTTTCCCTAAAGGAATTGTAATTGTTATTTGTCTACTTTTCATTCCAGCTAACTTTCCATTAATTAGCTTGAAAACAGCACTTTGTAGGCACCCAGTTTCTCTAACAATGGCCCTTTTTGGGTTACCCTCCATGCATTGGGTGTCAGTTCAGTGGCAGTTCCAGAACATTTTCTTAGGGTTGACCAGGCAGTACAATAATGTGCATGTGGCCAAAAAGTAATAGGGATCAAATTCGGTTCAGAGTCAAGCTATTGGGATCAGGCATCAGGTTCGATTTGCATATTTTCTTAGCCAAAACAAGGATTTGTTGGGCTACTGTAATTTTGAATTGAAAAACGTCCTGAATGGGAAGTCTTCAAACTTGAAAAACAAAGTCCAAAGTTTTTTTTTTTTTTTTTTTTTTTGGAATGATTATGACCTGGATGTCTAAGAATCTTCACCAGCTTATCAGGGAAATGAATGCCCACAATGTCTATATTCTCCAAAAGAGAATAACAGAACAGACCTTCATGAGGCCCTTGTTAAAGCTATGCACATATTTATGCATCTATGCTCTTCAAATAACTTTCTGGTTCGACGCAACATTTACATTAAATTGGTTGAGAGGTTGTTCTTTACCAGTATTCCGTAAAAATTCAAAAAATATCAAAAACATTTATTTGGAAATCTACCGTCCCATTTATTTGGAAATCTACCGGAAAAAATATCAAAAAAAATTTTTACGGAATGACTTTGACCTGGATGACTGAGAACCTTCATCAGCATATTCTTTACCAGTAAATACATAAAAGATTCCCAGATGACTGCCGATACAAACTCTCCCCTATAAAACCTAAAACTAAACTCTTATAAGGGAGTAAAATCTGTATTAGTCTTCATTAAATGTAGCATATTGTTGTACATAATCGATTGCTTTATTTTTGGTGTCAGCTTTTGGTCACGCTAACGCTTTGGTATGCTAACCTTAAAAGGTCAAAGTGGGAAAATGTAGTAGTAGTAGACAAATTAGCAATTAGAGGAGGCAATAACAATTACAATTCCTTTAGGGAAAGGGGAAAGAAAATCATTTATTAAGAGGAAAGAAATTGAAAAATGGCAAAAAAAAAAGGTGGAATGAAGATAAAAATGAAGAAGGTTATATAAAGTACAAAAGTCAGTATTAAATAGAAATATTAATGAGAGAAACCGAAGGGAAGAAATAATAATGATCAGATTAAGAGTAGGTCATACTTATTTAAATGACAATTTATACTTAATAGGGAGGAAAAATAATGATAAATGTGAAGGATGTGGAGAGATAGAAAATGCAGATGTATTGATGAACTGCAAAACATATGAACCTGAAAGGAAGAAATTGAAAAGAGGACAGGCCAAGAATGGAGTCTTAAAGGATTATTGGGAAATAAAGGAAATATAAAAGATATTTATAGATTAAGGAAAGCATTATTTATTTATCTTCAGAATACAAAATTAAAAAATAGAATTTAATAGATGTAAAACAATGTTGCTACACACTCATGAACAGTAGGTGGCGGTATGCCCGCCCCTTCCCTAGAGCCCGGTGGGATCGAAAACATTTTGAATGGAAATCAGTGGGGAGAAATTAATAAACTTCTGGTCCCAGTCGCTCTCTGTCACTGATTCCAGATATGCTGGTTGTGTATTTAAATTGTTTTTTGTTTTTTTTTTAGTTCCTCTTTGGTCAAAATCTGGTCAAAACCCATCAATGAGATCGCACCAAACAGGAAGTTAATTGCACAAAGGATCCGGTAGATTTCCAAATAAAACACATCCGATCTTAACCCATGATCCTTTTTTTAACTAGTTTAATTAGTTTCTCCCGTATGCCACGACGTAATGCATTGATCTGAAAATCCACCTCAGACGCAACGCACGCAGTGGCGAGGGTTTGATCCGTCAGATGGAGTTAAATCACAAAGAATTCAATGTTGAATCGGGGCGGCAGCTAAATGCTAGGCGATGGGTAGCAGCCAAAACGTTGCAATTTCACATAATCCTGACGAGATCCGAAAAACCGTAGCAAAGACTAGCAAGCGGGTGATTATGTATGCTCTCTGTCATTGATTCCAGATATGCTGGTTGTGTATTTAAATTGTTTTTTATTTTTTTTTTTAGTTCCTCTTTGGTCAAAATCTAGTCAAAATCCATCAATGAGATCGCACCAAACAGGAAGTTAATTGCACAAAGGATCCGGTAGATTTCCAAATAAAACACCTCCGATCTTAACCCATGATCCTTTTTTTTAACTAGTTTAATTAGTTTCTCCCGTATGCCACGACGTAATGCATTGATCTGAAAATCAACCTCAGACACAAAGCCGCAGTGGCGAGGGTTTGATCCGTCAGATGGAGTTAAATCACAAAGAATTCATAGTTGAATCGGGGCGGCAGCTAAATGCTAGGCGATGGGTAGCAGCCAAAACGTTGCAATTTCACATAATCCTGACGAGATCCGAAAAACCGTAGCAAAGACTAGCAAGCGGGTGATTATGTATGTTCACTAAGTAAATATTATGTAAATAAACCCTACACTTCTCGCTATAAATGTAATCAAAACCCATTTAAATGCAGAAACTGATTGAAATTATTGATTTTCCCACTAAAAGTTAGAGAAATCTCAGCCATGTTTATACCAAAATGTTACAGTTTCACATTATCTTGAAAAATCTTTGCAAGAAACGAACAAGCAAGTGAATATGTACATTCCCTGAGTAAATATTCTGGCAACAAACTATACATTTCTCACTAGAAATGTAATCAAAACTCATTTTAATGCAAAAACAAACTCAAGTTATTAATCTTTCCACAAAAAAATGAGCGAATGTCGGCCATCTATATATATTCTTTTCTTCTCCCAGCTGGAATCTTGAAAGTCACGTGACTAGGACGTAAAACAATAGAAAACGTATAGGCAGAAGAAACGTAACAGTACCACAAAAAAATGGCCATTAATGTACCTCCACTACGTTTTGCAGTGTGGACCAACGTAGTGGGGGTACATTTTCCCATGAGACTGGGTTGATTATTGCAGAACTAGGAGCTACCTAATGCTGCAATCTAAGAAGAGTAGTGGGTCTAGAACAGATATCTACAAGCTTTTAAAGAGAAAGACAAAATATTTCAAAAGTTAACACTTTAAACCCTCTTCAGTATGTTGTATTAGAAATATAAGATACAGTTAGAAAAGGTTAAGTACAGTTTTTTGTACTGTATTTTTAAACATTACCCTGAAACCTTTGAGTCTTCACTTAGCAGTATCATCCACACAGAGGAATGTTGTGAACTGGTGCTGCTTTTACAAATGTGTATTTACTGATCAGAAAAAAGGTTGAATTTCTCAGTTTCTCACCAGACTATTAGCAGTCAGAACCGAACAATGACCGATTCTGGTTAGCAGGAAATCATTTTGTGCATCTCTGACTTTTTTTTTTTTTTGACAAATAAATATTGTTTATTTTTAAAGGTTGTATGAAAATTAATCCAGCAGAAAAAACAAGTATTTTTTTAATATATTTATTCATAATGATACAGCTAAAATCACTCTATATTAAAACATGTTGAAAAAATACAGTTAAATTGAGATTCATATTTTGCATTTAATTTGCACGTCTCACATAATGTACTGTGTTGTTTATGCTTTCTAAGAAGCACACTGACTTAATCCACAAATAAAGATGTGCTCGCCTAAGTTTTGCTCTTTTGGTCATTAAGCACTCTAGAATCTGCATGTTTTCTAATAAGCTAAACTGTACGATTAACGGTTCATCTATTTCTCTTTCCCTCTCTCTGACTTACTGTTCTTTGTCCGTTGCTTTCGTATTCAGTCTGACAGAGGCATCACTTTCTACAGCTTACTCAGCTAGAAAGCCCTGCTGGGCTGAGAGGTAAGATCAAAAGGTCATGTTTAACAGCCCTGTACAGAAATGCAGATGTCATTTCTTTCTTGATTTGATAACTAAAACTCTAAAATATGTGGCTCAACAAATATCTGAACATCAGCATCTCAATAAATCAGGATATCCTTTAAATCTGTATTCATTTCACATAATAAATGCAAAAGTAATCCTGGTGATTCATCTGGCTACTTAATATTGCTTTTTTTGTTAATGGTGATAATCATGTTTTACAGCTAATGAAAACCTACACTTCAGCTGACATAAAACAGACCAAATGACTTTTAAGGCAGAGATAATCGGCTTTGTGTAAAGTTTGTCCATGAGCTGTATAGTAATGCACTCAGTATTCAATCAGGGCTCCTTTTGCATGACGTGTGTTCAGGAAGCCCAGTGTTGCTTTCATAACAGACATCACTTTTTCCTCGTTGTAGGATGTGGTTTCTCTTTTCTTCCTGTTGACAATACTCCATAGATTCAGACCAGAATGTTGACCAATTAAAAACTTTACAATGTTGATTAGAGCAGGTGTTTGTACTTCTGGCAGTGTGGACAAATGCCAAGTCCTGATAAAAATCAAATCCGTATTTTCATAAAGCTTTTTCCACAAAGAAAAGCTTTAAAAGCCCTAAACCTTCCTGTGCTGACTTTGGACTTGAAAAATCCCAGTATAAGTGATTTTTTCTTGTTGTTTTCCACATTAAACGCTAATGGCACTACCTTCCCTGGCAGACATCAGACTCCGAGGTCACCATCCACAGGCTCAGTAATTCAGCCCCATCCACACCTGACTCCAAGCCTGAAAGGTGAACATATTTACAACTTTCATTGTCTTAGATTAAGCATCAACAGACAAAACAAAATCCAACTAATAAGTTTTAAATAATTCCTTGACATATTTTCCTTTTCTTAACATTTTTAAAAGCAGAACTGCTATTGGGAGCTTGCTAACGTCTTCATTCAGGCAGCACCAAGAATCTCTTGCTCTGGAGAGAGAGAAGAGACGTCAGGAAAGAGAGGAGCGTCTGCAGCGGATTGAAAGAGAAGAGAGGAATCGATTGAGGTTAGTTTCACCTTGCAAGCTAGATAAAAACCCATGCCGTCTCTGTGTTACATTGGCTGCTGTGTTTCTGATCACAGCTTAAGTGAGATGGTTATAAATCTTCCCTGAGCTTGAGGCAAGCCAGGTTTTTTACGAGGATCATAACACTGACTGAAACATGACAGGAGGACTCCTCAATGACATATGTTGTCCTTACATGTCATATGATAGCCTTTTGTGCATCTTATGTCCGAGCTTCTACATCAGAGCAGTTTACATCCTTTAGGTTAACTTTCAAAATATAAACATTTTACAAGTGATATTTTTGCCTTTTTTATCTTAGTTTCTTTTGTTTCAGTCATGACCATTTGGAAAAGAGGGAAGAATTAAGACAAGCCAGGGAGGAAAGGTCAGTTAATTTTTTTTTTCTGTGTTTTTAATCTCCTGATCGAAACCCTGTGAAATTAGACATCCTGCTGAAATATGTGGAAGAAGGCCTAATAAAGAAACCCAACATTAGCAGGTAGCAGTCAAATATTCCTTTACGGTACCTTAAAAATATGTGGATATCATTTGTCATCATTTCAGCCTCTTATTAATGGGATTATGGCCCCATTTTTATGTAATTTTCCCTGGAATGAGACAGCATAAATGGCTGATATTTGCTGATATAATCAATGTTATGTAAGGCTCTCATATTTCCAGCAATGTCTTTCTTTCTGGACATTTTTAATTTGCCAGTTTCCCTGAAAACCTCTCATTTAAAATAATTACCTGACCTAAAAAACACTAAATTTAGTCATTACTTTTAGAAATAGCAGTTTTGCTCTGTGCCTGGGGCAATTACAGAAACTGTTTTTTTTTTTTTTTTTTTTTTTTTCACTACAAAAAAAAAAAAAACTTTACATACATAGGGAGAGAAATGTTTCCCTGTTTTTTTTTTTTTTTGTGAAATAGCCCACTGCTGAAGAAAAAGATCCCCGTAGCATGAACCTACCACCACTATATTCCACTGTAGGGATGTTATGTTCAGGGTAATGTGTATTGTTGTAAATTTTGTCCTAATGGTTCAATGTTGGCCTGTTTTGAACAAAGTATCCTTAAAATATTTGCTTTCCTGGAAGCTTTTTCATAAAGCCTAGTATCTGTTGAGTGAGTACTGTATATTCCAGACTATAAGCCGTTACTTTTTTTTCTCAGACTTTGAACCTGCGGTTTATAAGAAGGTGCAGCTTTTCTGTGAATTTTTTCTAAACGCCAAACTAAGCTAGCATTCTTCTTCTTCATCCCTTCACCAGGGGCATTATGTAGAGTTCGCCCTACAGGTTTGGTGGGAGACAGTTCAGTAGATATCAGCGACTTATAGCCCGGTGTAGCTTATATATTTAAGTTTCCAGTTTTTTCAAAAAATTTAGTGGGCAAGTTTATAGTGAAGTGAAAATACAGTAAAAAATACAATGTTCTGTGAACAGACTTTCAGGCTGCTTTATAATCTTGCCCTCTTTTAAACCTAAACTTTCTCCCTCACCTGTTTTTTGCATTTCTTGGTCTTTATTATGCAGTTTCTTCACTAATGTTATTCACCAAATTTCTTAGGCTTTTGCAGCACTGGTGTATTACAGCATATAAATCATAAATTGGAAATCTGAAAACATTTGGAGGCACTGGATATTATTTTGGGGAATTGCAATTAAGTCATCTGAGGGCAAATATCCACCAATTTGCTGAATCTAATTGCAGAGGGAGGATAATCAGAGCTTGATATAACACTGCAGTTTTGCAGAGACCTCTAAAGTCTTAATTCTGCTTCCATAGGTACAAGGCTGTGGAGAGGTCGACTGCAGAGGAGAGTGAGCGGGAGCGCCCTCGGGTGCCAACAAGAGGACGAACAGAGATCACTCTGTGTTTGAGTCCAACTCCAAGCGTCCGCTCAGTATCACGATGTTCAACAGCCTCACCCTCCATCTCACAGGGAGCCACAGCCATGGCTCCAGAGAAGACAACATTGGGTAAAAAGTCTTTTTTCATGTATTTTGCTATTTCTTAACCCTTAGTACTCAAGAATGTTGGGGAAATACCAAATGTTGCTGCACAACACAGTGTGTTTATAATGTTACAATAGTAATGATAATGACTCAGGAAATACATGTAGTGTAGTGGGTAAAGGTGTGATTGACACTGTATCAACTTGTGGAGAGGTCCAAGTAAAGTCTAAAAACAAGATCATAAAAGAAATGTATTTAACAGTTTACTGTTATAAAATAAAATACTTTTTTTGTTTAATTTTTCTAAAATAAGTGGTGTTTTTTTTAAGTTTGAATCAAAAAATTGATATTCAAGTTAAATAAAAAACTATGTTATGCAAATATTTGCTCTTCATTATATTTTCTTTCAGGAACAGAATGCATCTCAAGACCAAACCTTTTCCGACAGAGCAGAACCAAAAGTTCAGTGCCTGAATTCTCAACGTCAGTACCTCCCCAACAATTAGACAGGACTGAGACAAAGACAGAGGCAGGGAATGTTGCTGATATAAAGAATGGCAACAATGACCTAGCACAGCTGGATGTGAAGGAGCAGGCAGAGAAGGAGAATGAAGAGAAACCAAAGCAGGAGATGCTTAAAAAGCAGGAGCAGATTGTTGATGAGGTTGGAGCGGATGCAGCAGGGACAACTGATGCAGCAGAGGTTGGAGAGCAGGATGTGAATGTAGTAGTGGAGTCAGAGGAGAAAGTGAAGCATGCAGATGGGGAGGTGGAGGAGGGTGTGGTTCTGAGTGAGAAAGAGAGACAGAACGAGGAAGTGAACGAAAAGGACAATTGCTCTGCATCCAGCATCTCTTCCACAAGCAGCACCTTAGAAAGGGAGGAGCGGGAGCAGAAGCCAGCAAAAGAGGCTGAATCAGGTAAAGCTGAACCTTGATTCACCTTGGCTTGAATGTTATTGCTTGTGCTCATGAAACAGTATTCATACCCTTTCAACATTTTCATATTTTGTTGTATTGAATTTAATGTTTTGTTAATGTAAACTAGATCTCCATATCAGAAAAACATCAGATAAAAAGATTAAAAACACCTTTTACTTATTTAAATAACTAGCATACAGAGCATGAATGTATTGGACCCATGTTAGAAGCCCATAATGCTTCCTGTCTGACAGTTCTCAGCGATATGAGAATGGCAGGCCTTGATATCTCAATAATAAACCTGAGGATCTGTTTACTTAGGATCAAGGTCCTCCTTTAGGATGAACCTCCAGCCACGTCTAAAGTATTTGCGGCCTCTAATAGTATTTGTTACTATTTAGATGAGTTTTTACACTGTACTTAAAGGTATAGTGGAGGATTTTCACAAATTTTTGAAAAAACCTCTCCACTTAAAATAAAAAGCTCATGCATAACCCGTACCCACTCCTGAGAGGGAATGTCTATTAAACACATGCGAGAGCATGCACGAGCCCATTTCTTCTTGCGCACGCTCTGTTTAAAACGCTGTTTGCATTGCTCATACAAGCTTACCTTCTAAAAGAAGATTTGCATTTTTTCACTCTACCCCCATTTGCACTACCATTTTGAAACCGTGCCAAATCGGTCCGAGCACGGTAACGGAGATAACTGTTGGGTGTAAATTGCAGTTGCAACTTACCCGGACTGCGCCAAACACAACCGAACTGCGCTGACATGGTACTAGTTCATCAGTAAGCCTCAGCGCGGTTCAGTTCTGGCACGGTTCTCAGAAAACAAAGAGCGCGTGAGCAGACCGCTACATCTTACAGTCAGCCTCCATAATCAACTAAAAAATTAAGACAAACTTCAGACATTCTTAAAAATACAAGCTTCCCTACTTTGCCACATGATTTCCAGTGATAATTCTGCTTAGCAGTGTGATGAGCCTCAACGTACGTCATTTTTTCTGAGTCTGTAAGCCCTGATTAGACTATCGTTTGTCGAGTCCACTTCCCAAAACCTGACTCTTTCAAGTAAATTCACCAAGGGTTGCTTTTTTCCCCTGACTCTCCACAAACAACGAAATATCCCAACGATAACAAAACATAACTTTGTTCGGTATGAACATTCTAAAGCAGTAGACTTTTGTTTTCTATTAACAGGCCAATGGCATCAGTGTCTAAAGGAGGCAGATGTGACCGACCAGTGCAAGAAGATTCTCAACAACAAGCGCTTTATGCTGGACATGCTCTATGCCCAGAAGGCTGTCTCTGAGGATGGCGGAGAGGTTGTGGAGTCAGAGAAGGAAAGGTGTAAGTGTGAGAGGGAGACAGACGCTAGTGATTCTGTGACCAGTTTGGCAACCCGGATCTCCACACTGGAAGCGAACAGACAGGCCAGAGAAGACAATGTTAAAAGATTGGAGGTGGAACAGCTGGACAACCATGGCAGTGTCAGAACCGTGGCGGAGAGGTTTGGGGATTTAGTTAAAGGTCTATCGTCTACGCTAGAGATAGAGGCTCCTAAAGAGCAACCGCAGATAGACAAATCATCTGGTTCAGCCCCTAAGAAGGAGTCAGATCATATCTGGGATCAGCTGATGGCATCTCCCAGGGAGCTGCGAATCAAAGAAATGGACTTTACGGATCTTAGAGAGGAGGACGATATGGACATTTTAGATATGGAGACACTGATGGCTTCACCACCTCCACCATGCAGTTCCACCCTCCCACCACCTCCACCTTTGTTCGGATGCCCCCCACCCCCACCCTTTCCTGGCAGAATGATGCCCCCACCTCCTCCATTTATGGCTCCCCTACCGCCACCTTCTCCTCATCTGGGTAGAGGAGAAGCCCCTCGGTTCCAGAAGAAGAAGACTATCCGTCTCTTCTGGAATGAGGTACGGCCTGTGGACTGGCAGCGTAAAAATCACAAGTTCTGTAAGGAGTCCCTGTGGTCCAACCTGGAGCCGGTTAAACTGGATACATCCAAGCTGGAGCAGCTGTTTGAGACCAAATCCAAGGAGCTGTCCGTCACAAAGGTAATCTTATGTCATCATTAATCGGTTTCATTTCCCTGGAAACATACAGTTGGAAATATCAGACTGGTGCTATGCTGTATTCAAATCAGGTAAGCCACATCTTTAGGGAATACAATAAAAATCCTGCAGTGATGATCATTTGATTTTTGGGTTGAATATTATTAGCCAGATTTTTACAGACATTAAGATGCCTTTTATAGGTGTCGTATAGGTCAGGATCAGGAAATCAAAAACACCAAGGTATGCTAAAAGAATTTCCACTGGCACAATAGAACAATAATAATCTGGCCCTGATAACTGGAAGTAAGCAGCTTAAATAGAGGAAGGAGTTGGTGGATCAGATGAGCAGTAATAAGACATTTACGCTACAATGCATTTAGTATGCAGTATTGTAGATCAAATGAATAAGAGTGAACCACTGACTGCTGGATTAGTTGGCTGTTGCCATGAAGAAACATGGTTACAGCCACTAAACTTCAAATTCATGCAATCAAAATAAGAAAACATATTCAAAATTCTAACTTCACATACAAATTGTTTAATTTGATAACAACAGAGATACTGATACTGTGACATATATCTCCCATAAGGTTATTTTTTTTCCTTGACTAAATTAGTTTGAGAGACTGCTGATCAGGACTAAGGTTGATGATAACATAAAAAATCGGGAGTTTCCTGCGTAAATTGGGAAAGTTGGCAAGTAGCTATGTATTTAAAGGCACACAGTGTAACTTTTGGCTACTGGGGGCGCTACACCTGTAACTGCCTGCATTTTGCTTCTACTAAACATTGAAAATAATAACAAAGATATATAACTGTACACAAGATGCAAAGTGTTGACTTACCAGTCTAATAATAAAGTTGAGAAAAGACAAGCAGTTTTACATCCGGCTTCTTCTTTCAGCCTGCGCTAACGAATAAACTGCTTTCCAAGATAGACTTTTGTTTTCCTCTGGCACAATCCCTTTCATGTTTTCTCTGTTTAGCGTCCTCAGAAAGTTTAAACTTTTTTTCTTGCCTTAGCCATGACCAGTAGTAGAGCAGGTGGGAAAAATAGTAGAGCAAAAGCCTTAGCTCGAAGGCTATATTAGAGCCTATGGTTAAAGCCATGGTCACATGACCTTGCTGATAATGGTCCGTCTTCTCCCAACTTGCATAGTTGGTATTTAAAGGGGGGAACCCCGCTCATAACATTGATAGTGTCAAGTGCTGCATATTGGCCTGATGAATCATTTAAAATAACTAATATGCTTCACAAAGTCCACGGTTTGCATTTAAGTTATGAATAAAGGGAAGACTTTAAATATATGAGGATGAAATGTGAAGAGATGAGAAATCATTCATTTTTAAGGACCTTCACATTCTTTAATCTGCCATTCAAAATATATTTCTATTAATAATGCTGGGGCACAGCACAAAGTAATGGGACCAGTGGCTAGTGGCTCATTATGCCACCCTTAATGTTCAATAGTTCAGAAAAAATAGGAATATTTATTGATATGGTTCCATTCAGATTTATTCAGTTTTTTTCATCTTACATCCAGTCTTACATATTTTATTTTCAATGTTGATAACAGAAAACCACTAATGTGAATTCTGTTGTGTTGAAGTTAATGTTTGGGTGTTGAAATTATATCAGTTTCGGGAGAACTTTGGTCACAAAGCGACAAAATAATAATACAAGGTATGTGGAGATTTTTGTGTAATTGAAGAGTAATTCCACATAATTTATATATTTTTTTTTTTTCAGTTTTATTCAATCAAGCTGAGATGTGTGCTAAGATTTTTAAATGACGATATGAAACTGTGGCCAAAAGGTCATATCTAGCTACACCAGGCAGGCACACCAACACATTTTTCCTCAATGATTTCTTTCTAACGTTTCTGTTAACTGTTTTTATCTACAGGATGCAAATAGGCAAACAATAAAAATTGCTTCCTTCCAGCACAACATTTATTTCAGGTTGATAGGAAGCATAAACCCAAGAATTTAAATCAAAAGGTGCTTTGCCGACCAATTAAGTATGTTTATTCTTATAGAACCAGGTTCTGTCGGCTTTCTTACTTTTCATTCATCTAACGCATCTGTTTTGTTTTGCAAAATTTAGGATAAATGACATAAAAAGTTGAAAATAACGCTTTAACATAAACTGCTATATATTTGTTTGAAGAGAGAAATAAATATTACAATAATTATCAAGATTCATTTAATTTTGAATTTCCTATATAATTAAGCAAATGACAAAAATAATTTCAGTCAGAAAAGGAAGAAAACAGTCAATCAAACCTTTTATGGTGAGTAATTAAGGCACCTGCCTTTAAATCGTACTTTTTTTATACCATCGTTAGTAGAAAAAGGTTGATAAGACTTTGATAGATCATTGAAACTAGAATGATGGAAATGGACCATTTGTAATGAGCAATAGGGGGATTTTACCAGGTGCCTTTTCACACAGTTTTCTTCTTCCTTTGGCCTCTCCTAGAAACCATCAGCTGAAGGCAAACGACAAGAAATCATCGTCCTCGACTCAAAGCGCAGCAACGCCATAAATATTGGATTAACTGTCTTACCTCCTCCTCGCACAATCAAGACAGCTATTCTCAACTTTGATGAGTACGCACTGAACAAGGAAGGCATTGAGGTGAGCTTAAGATAATTATATCTGGACTAGTATGAGGTTTGAGCATAGCGTATATGGGTCTAATCTGAACAAAGTTGTAATGTCTTAAGTACTATGTGATAATCTGTTGCATTAGTTGTGTAGATATAATCTTTTTTTCTACATTTATAAAGATAAAGGGTTATTTTGAGTTCATCTCAAAAACCATCTGGTATCTGCAGAGCTTCATGGTTGCAGGTTACAGTAAAGCCTCTTTGATTTGATACTTCATAGGCTGAGTTTAGGGATGGAAAGATTCCTCCACCTTTTTTTCTCTCCCTAGAGGTATTTTCAATGATACAACAAAAGCAGAGAAAAAGTTCAGACGTTAAAAAATTACAAAAACAGGAATCAACTTAAAGAATTCTGAATATAATTATATGTCTAAAAATCAGACACACAGGGACACATTTTATGTATATCTTCTCCATTCTAGAAAATCCTCACAATGATCCCAACGGAGGAGGAGAAGCAGAGGATCCAGGAGGCTCAGCTGATGAACCCTGATGTCCCGTTGGGCAGCGCTGAGCAGTTCCTGCTCACCCTCTCCTCCATCACAGAGCTGTCAGCGCGACTGCAGCTGTGGGCCTTCAAGATGGACTACGAGCTTATTGAGAAGGTCAGGTACATTCCTGCTCCCACTAATCAGGGGCAGATGAAAGAGGCACTCATGTTGTTACATAAGAAGAGGTTTAGGGATTTTTTTTGCATATTTTTTCAAGCTATTTGTCTGACAATATATATATTTGTCATTTTAAAAAGCCTTTCTTCTTCATTCCAAGATAGGGAGCAGAAATGAAAGGATCATATGCTTATGATCATCTTTTGTTTTTGCCCTTTCAGGAAGTGGCAGAGCCACTGCAGGACCTGAAAGAAGGAATGGATCAACTTGAAAAAAACAAAACCCTCAGATACATCCTGACCACCCTGCTGGCCATTGGTAACTTCCTCAATGGATCAAATGTAAGAAAAACAATCTGAGATATGTCTCTGATATTCTTAGTTTTGTTTTGTTTTCCCTTTGTATGTTATCCTTATCTTCTGTTAGCATTTTCTTCCCCTATATTTCCAGTCAAACCCAATATTTTGGCAGGAATAACTCCAGTCTGTGTGAATGGGCCTACTGCCCAACTGCAGCTTCTTTTGAGTGTGGCTCTATAAGCTGAGGAGAAAATAAGGGGAGGGCAAGTTTTTTTTTTTTATGTTCATCTTTATCTTGGTTGCCTGTGTGTGAACTCCATAAGTCGTTTCTGCTCCTGCTTTGTCCCAAAGTTGGCTTTTTCTTTGTTCCTGTGGCCCTTTCTCCACCTCAGTGTGAGTGCATCTACATGTGTGCGCCTCTGGGATAAACAAAGGCAAACATCCACAAGGGGAAACATAAGTCATCAACATCAAAATGAGCAGTTTCCCGTAAATAATGGCTGCATTTATATTTTTGCAGTAAACCATTTATAGCTGGCAAAAGAACAAGGGAGATCCTGCTAGGATTATGTCTTTCTTGATGCGTTCTGGAACCTTTTCTGCTTGTTGTGAGGGGAGAACAGTCGCTTAAACAGATTGGAGTTTTTGATTCAGTCTGATAATCTATGATTTGCCGTTCAACCTCTTATTTCTTACTTTGCCAGAAAGGAATTAACTTCAATCAGCTTGAAGTGATCCAGCTTTGTGATTTCAACGAACTGTTTCCTTTTACATTCTCAGTATGTTTTGTGTGTTTTTAACGTGTCTGCAGGCCAAAGGCTTTGAGCTGAGCTACTTGGAGAAAGTCCCGGAAGTGAAGGACACGATTCATAAGCAGTCCCTGTTGCACCACGCCTGCTCCATAGTGGTGGAGAAGTTTCCAGACAGCACCGACCTCTACTCTGAGATAGGAGCCATCACCCGCTTGACCAAGGTTAAAAACACATCATGTCCTCTCAGATGTTCCATGTCCTCTGAAAAGACTCCTTACTGGTTTTTAATATCATTCTCAGGTGGATTTCGACCAGCTTCAAGATAATTTGGCCCAGATGGAGCGCAGGTGCAAAGCATCATGGGACTACCTTAAAGTTATTGCAAAACATGAGATGAAGCCAGCGTTGAAGCAAAAAATGTCTGATTTCCTCAAAGACTGCGCAGAGAGAATTATAATTCTGAAAATAGTGCATCGCAGAATAATCAACAGGTATGCCGGAATGAAGTCTTTTTATTTTCTTTCATTTCTTCTGAAAACTAAAGAAAAGTAGTAAAATTATAATAGGCCTACATGTTTTTCAAAGTTTGTATTTAAGGTGATAATGTTAAAGGGCCTGTTACTTTCAATAAAAGGCAGTAAAAAAAACTTTTTAATCAGAGTACCTGAGTTAAAACACACGCCACACTTTGGTTTTAAGGACCATGGGCAATTTTGATTTTAACAGTTATCCTGTTTATATGCCTGTGCAAATTCTCAGTCATCTGGGTCCTGGCAACCAAAAAAAACAGGCTTCAATTAAAGGCAACCAGACTTTAGCTGAGCTTTTTTTTAAATGTTTTGAAATCTATCCAGGAGCTTTTGTTAATTCTGGTTGTTTGAACTAGAGAAACATGTTGAAGTCCTGCTGTTTCTAAGCATGTGGAATCTCCCAGGTGACTCTAATGACCCTGGAGAATGATGGATGGCTCACTGATTTGCATCTAAGTTGGTACGTGCCTAGGAGAACGGGCCTCCATGAGCTTAAAAACAGACCTTGTACAGGTCACCAGACAAACACGGTGTGTTTTAACCTCTATCCTGGATAGGTGTTGAAATATTTTTAGAAAAACTTTTAGAAGGCATGGGTGCCTTCAATTTAGGCCTTTTTTGTGGTATCCTGTCAACAGGTTCTCCCTCCTCAGCTGAAAATTTGTGTGACCCTTAAAGTTAGCCTGTGCCTGTTAAAAGGGGACCCAAAATGATTTCAAACCAAGAATATTGCATAATAATCATTTATGGAAACACTTCCAAAAAAGCATCCCAGGGACCATTTTCTCCAACCTAAATCTTCCTCTTTCACATTTACAGTATGTTGCCAGTCTCATAAAAAAAAAAATCTAAGTTTAACATAAATAGAAAAAACAATAATGTATGTCTCTTTTGCCTCTGTACACATCTGCAGGTTTCACGCCTTTTTGTTATTCTTGGGCCATCCGATCTATGCGGTAAGAGAGGTCAGCATACATCGCTTTAGCAAGATCCTGAGTGAATTCGCCCTGGAGTACCGCACGACGAGAGAGCGTGTGCTGCAGCAGAAACAGAAGAGGGCCAACCACAGAGAAAGAAACAAGACCAGGGGGAAAATGATAACAGATGTAAGGCTTGTTCATTATTCTATCACTGTCCTTGTTTTAATTCGCGCCTCTGCAGTTCCATGAAACAGTGTTAACAACCCATTGGCAGGAGTTCTATCTCTAATCTTAAGAAATCTGGCTCCATTTTTTGGTAGATGTGGTGGGTTTCATTTCCAAAGACGTCTGCCTAGCTTCCTCTTTGCTCACGTGTATAAGTTACAGTAAAAACAATCAGGGAGTTGTGTGGAGTGGATCCGCTTCTGTGTCTACTGCAGGCTGAGAACAGGCCAGAGCTAACAGCTCGCTGTGTGATTAAAATCCCCTAAGCCCCAGGGAGCCGGCTGCTGACAGAGGAATCCACGCTCCGCCACAGAGAGGGGACCCTTTTCTTTTTTAAGGACACTTCATTTAATCACTGTGTGAAACTTCAAACCTGTGGTTTTCCCTAAAGGAGAAATAGCATGGGGCCACACCTTAGCTATGATCCAAAAGCTTTGCTGGCAGACTCTTTTTTTTTTCTTTTTTTTTTTTTTTTTGCACAAATGAAGATGGAAAATATTGTAATTTTATATTTTGGATATCAAGAATAATTGGACATTCCTGTGTGATGGAAGGTGTTAAATTTGCATATCATTTCTAAATAAGCTTGCAAAACCTAAATATACTAATGTTATTCATACATGCATCTATACAACAAAAAAATAAAAAATGTTCATATCTTCTTTTTTGTTTTTAATAATATGAATGCAATATAAATGCACATAATTGTTTTTATACTGGGATTAAATCAAACACTTGGAAGAAAGGTGACCATTTGAAAGGCAGTCGGTTGCACTGAATTTTGCTGAGGTATACCAGACTTCACTTCATGTCCTAAAAAAACATTTTACAGCGTACATCCACTTCAGAAGTGTATGCTACACTGCATTGGTACATCATATATTAAACCCATGTAAAAACCATTGAAATTTGTGGTTGTAACATCCAAAAATATGACAAAATCTACTTTTCCAAGATACTTTATGTGATTATTGTTGATAAATGCCTGTTAGCTTAACATCCTGTTTACTGCAGACACAAATCTATAATTAGGCACTAGCAGATGTGATCTTCTTTTTCAAAATGTTACAGTAGAAGGCCATGCTTGTTATCAGTGCTTATTTTGCCTTTTTTTATTAGAGTGAGGATGACGATGACAGTGAGGTAGGGAAGTACACATGTATGCATGCATAGGCATTAATCTGAGAGCCCTCCGTTTGCACTAACACTGAACAACATGCAAGGCTGCATTTTGAAATAACTGTTTTGTTCAAAGGGTCTAAACAAATCATGAGGTGTTTGTAAGTCTTAGAGGGACTAACGGTGAAAATGCATGAATATGAAACATGATGCCGCTTTGAGTGCTGAGTGAATCTAACCTTAAGAAGTTAATTATACTTAATGGTAGAAAAATATATATTTTGAGGGAAACAGTCATGGAAATAAATCTGTGATAAATGTATTGTGTGTCTCAGATTCTTAAAAATAACCAACTGTGCTTGTTTAGGTGTGGGAAAGACTGTTAAAAAATAAGAACAGGAAAACAAAGATAATTTTTTAGAATGTTTTAACTCTTCCTTCATACTTTTGCAGAGCGGTAAATTTGGAGGGGCTTCTTCAGATGCACAGGAGAGCCAGGCTCAGGGTATCCAGAGCGCTGACGATGCAGCAGAGCATGAAAACATGAAGGCTGTGTTAAAAACTGGTCTGAAAGATGGAGAGAGCAGCACATCCACTGTGCCCGGGCTGCGAGGTCGCACCAGAGGCGGCAGCCTCAGAGGTCAGTCAGATAATGCTACTATATAACATAAATATCCAGTTTTATGGAACTATAAACAAGCCCCAGAATAGTTCTACCTTTCACAGCATCCTGAAACACTGGAGATATTATCACGTCTTAGTAATAATGAATGATTGATGATAAATGATGATGATTTTTAACACCTTTATCAGACAGTTTTCATCCAACTTGTCCAAATATTTCTTCTTATGCACGCTCTGTTTAAAAGTTACTGTTAGCATATGTCAGACTTGCCACCGGTAAGGGAAAATGGGGATGAGCATGTAGGATGGCCTTGCGTAAACATATCACCAGGATGAATGACAATTAGGAGGATAAGCTACAAGCATCTTACCCTGGGTAAAGAAAAAAACAACTTTATTCATGCTCAGTGGCCCAAAGTTCTATTTTCTGATGAGTAAAGTTTGGATTTCATCTCAACATTAAGGCCCCAGAGTCTAAATGAAGGAGGCAGAGAATCCACACAATTTGAAGTCCAGTTATAGTTTCTAATGGCAGTGAAGGTTAAGACCTCCATGTCATCTGTTGGTGTTGGGTTCCTTTTGCTGACGAGCTAAATGTTGATTTTATTTTCACACCCCCAAAATGTCCAAGATAACAAAGGCTGGTATAGTTGCACAAGAAACTGGTCTGGCCTTAGAGAATCAATAGGGTATTGTCAAGAGGAGGATATCAAAGCCAATAAAACAGATGACCTCAAGGCCACTATCAATGCAACCTGTTGCTGAACGCCTCCATGCCAGGCCGCATGCATGCAGTAATTTAAGCAAAATGAGGCCCAACCAAGTAATGAATTAAAAGAAATTAATATTCTTTTGAGAAATCCACTTTTGTTAGATTTCTGGGTTTTTATTTTGTTTAAGCATTAAAAAAATAAAGGACACAAATTAGATTAAATACTTCACTTGGTGTGCCATAAAGACGTAATATATGTCAAGTTCATTTCACTTTTTGTCAAGAGAACCCATTAGATCAGTCGATGGGGGAAAAAAATCACATCAATTTCTTTATTTAGTCAAAATTGGGTTTTTTAATCAAGCACTAACAGTCGAAAACTCAATTATTAACTTCAATATCAGAAAAAAATCAGAGAACATAATTTTTACCTTCAGTAAGAGTCCTGACCTATATTTTTTGCAGACTTTTTTGTATTTTCCTCCATCTGCTTTGTTCCGCTGCTTTGACAGGTTTTATTTTCTCACAATCTGCTGTATGTAGCTCTAATTTGTAAGAGTCCTTTATGTGCTTATAGTAGTATACCTGAATTTAAAGAGGTGTTTCCTTAGAAGCATGCAAAAGATTTCATACTAACTTGTGCAAACTGTATCGATGCAGAAAGAAACTGTTTAAAGAAGCTAGGAGCAGATCTGCTTTCACATTTAAAAGCAAGCAATATGTCCCCTAATTTAGCACCCTTAATTTCCATTGCTATTATTCCCCCCCAGTGTTCTTAAATGTCAATGTCACACACCTTTTGTTACCAATTATGATCTTAAAACTTCATTCATAAAATAAAACTGATAACGTCATGGCTTATGTGTGTTCTGTCCAGTAACGCAGAATTTGATTTGCTGTGCTTGTTTCAGCGCGCGTTGCTCCATGGTGTTCTGCTAGTGATGACCCTATAAGCTGTACAGATGACACAGCTGATGAGATCATGGAGAGGATTGTTCGATCAGCCACTCAGGGGCCCAGTCAGAGGACACTACCTCGTGAGAGGAGGCGATCCCGGCTAAACAGGAAATCATGTGGGTCTTGAAGACATGCTCAAAATTATTTAAGAAAAAAAAAATGTTTCTGTTGCATTTATTCATCACAGTAATCCACCTTCTCTTTTTTTTTTTTTTTTTTTTTTTTACTCACTTGATCAAACAGTAAGGAGGACTCTAAAGAGTGGCTTGACGACAGAGGAGGCCAATGCCCTCGGCTTGTCCAGTGGTTCTGAGCTTCAGGTGTGAGAAAGATGAGGATTCTGCTGGACATTAGGACAACTGTTGGCCCTTTCACTGCCTCACACACACCCCCCTCCAATCCAGACTGGAGATCCACCCCTTTCTTGCCTCCAACCACCTGCAAGCTGGGATGAAGTTGTTTGGTTTACATACTGTGATATGAGAAAAAGGGAAAAATCGCTGAGGAGATCTTATTCTTAAACCTGTGGGCAGGAAAAACAGCTTTGCAATGAAACCACTAAGCTTGGCTTTCGCCAGATGAACACAGAACAAGTGCTTTTGCAAGGCTTTACCGCCGTCATCCTGCATACAAATGCCCACTAAGGTTTGTGTCTTGCTTTGTGTGCTTGAGGCTGCCAGTGCACGTGCTTCAACCACTGCAGCCTACCTTTGGACACAAAAGGCTGAACGTGGTGCAAATCTTGAACCCTTAAAATTACTGTGCACTGGGGGTTAAACGACATAGCTGAGCTGAATGACATTTCATCTATTGAATAGATGGCTTGGTGCAGATGGTTATTTTGTTGTATACTACTGGGGTTATTTTATGTTTAATTTTGGTCCGAAAAGGTGCTTAAATAAGGAACATTTTGCACTGGATGTAAAAGTTTGGCTATCATTGGAATGTGAGATTTTTGACACTGATGAACCACTCTGACATCTGAATCTGACTATGTGCTCATCAATGTGCCAGCTATTCAGAAGTAGCACACTTTTAACATCACAAAATTGGATAGAATAAGGCAGATGTAGTTTAAAGATAAAGAAGGAATTTAATAGTGTAGATGTATTTTTGAAGATTGTGAGGAGACAAAACGTTCAGTGTTGCATTGTTTGATCAATTCTTAAATTAAAACTAAAGAGCTGCAAGCATTCATGGAAGGCAGGAGCAGTTCGAACTCTTTCTAAATTTGCATTTTATAGAAACTATGAGCTGCACATTTCAGTGCCTTGCAGACAGTTATTTATTAAGATGCTTTCAGGGATATGTGATAACCTTGTTTCTACAGATGTGCAGCCTGTGTATGAGAAGATAATTTTAGCATTAATCAGTTTTTAAACCCATCATAATAAAGTAGCTTTTTGGCTACATTAGGGGTATTTAATTTCTACGGCTTCATGTTGGTTTGAACATTTAGTGTCTCATTTAGCTTTCTGCACATGTAACTATTTAAGAAAGGACAATGTAATGTACAGGTCCTCAAAATATTAGCATATTGTGATAAAGTTAATTATTTTCCATAATGTAAAGATAAAACTTGAACATTCATATATTTTAGATTAATTGCACACTAACTGATGTGATGATTTCATGTCTTTTATTGTCTTAATACGGATGATTTTGGCATACAGCTCATGAAAACCCAAAATTCCTATCTCACAAAATTAGCATATTTCACCCGAACAATAAAAGAAAAGTTATCTTAATACAAAAAAACAAAGTCAACCTTCAAATAATTATGTACAGTTATACACGCAATACTTGGTCGGCAATCCTTTTGCAGAAATGACTGCTTTATTGCAGCGTGGCGTCAGCTAAAGTGTTATGGAGGCCCAGGATGCTTCGATAGCGGCCTTTAGCTCATCCACAGTGTTGAGTTTTGCGTCTCAACTTTTTCTTCACAATATCCCACAGATTCTGTATGGGGTTCAGGTCAGGAGAGTTGGCAGGCCAATTGAGCACAGTGATACCATGGTCAGTAAACCATTTACCAGTGGTTTTGGCACTGTGAGCAGGTGCCAGGTCGTGCTAAAAAATGAAATCTTCATCTCCATAAAGCTTTTCACCAGATGGAAGCATGAAGTGCTCCAAAATCTCCTGATAGCTCGCTGCATTGACCCTGCCCTTGATAAAACACAGTGGACCAACACCAGCAGCTGACATGGCACCCCAGACCATCACTGACTGTGGTTACTTGACACTGGACTTCTGGCATTTCCTTCTCCCCAGTCTTCCTCCAGACTCTGGCACCTTGATTTCCAAATAACAAGTAAAACTGAGCAACAGTCCAGTGCTGCTTCTATGTAGCCCAGGTCAGGTGCCTCTGCTGCTGTTTCTGGTTCAAAAGTGGCTCTACCTGGGAAATGCGGCGCCTGTAGCCCATTTCCTGCACACGCCTGTGCACGGTGGCTCTGGATGTTTCTACTCCAGACTCAGTCCACAGCTTCCGCAGGTCCCCCAAGGTCTAGAATTGTCCCTTCGCCACAATCTTGTTCAGGGTCCGGTCACCTCTTCTTGTTGTGCAGCGGTTTCACTTTTTCCTTCCCACTGTGGTGCCTTGTTTCAGCACTCTGGGAACAGCCTATTAGTTCAGAAATATCTTTCTGTGTCATCCCCTCTTGCTTGATGGCGTCAATGATGGCCTTCTGGACAGCAGTCAGGTCGGCAGTCTTACCCATGAATGGAGTTTTGAGTGATGAACCAGGCTGGGAGTTTTAAAGGCCTCAGGAATCATTTGCAGGTGTTTAGAGTTAATTTGTTGATTCAGGTGATTAGGTGCATAGCTCGTTTAGAGACCCTTTTCATGATATGCTAATTTTGTGAGATAGGAATTTTGGGTTTTCATGAGTATGTATGCCAAAATCATCCGTATTAAGACAATAAAAGACCTGAAATATTTCTGCTAGTGTGCAATGAATCTAAAATATATGAATGTTCAAGTTTTATCATTACATTATGGAAAATAATTAACTTTATCACAATATGCTAATATTTTGAGAAGGACCTATATTGACCATAACTGTCTGTAGTTTAAATGACATAGGAGACCTCGCTTTGCCCTTTAGAAAATATTTAGGTATTTGTTTGCTCTATAAGTACACTGTGAAAATCTGGAGTCATCCCTCATTTCCTTAAATATATATTTTTGTTTGAATCAAAACTAGATTTTTTTTTTTTTTTTTTATTAGACCTCAGTCTACATTAGTTTTCCAGGTTCTCAGAAGTTTGTCCTTGGAAACATTTGCTGTTGTTCTATTTCCATGTTCTAGACTGGATCAGATATTTTTGTTGTTTTTGTTTTTACTAAACCACTATAGTAACGCACAAACCAGGGTTGTTTGACCAGTTTCTAAAACAATCTAAAAAAAAATTGATCTTTAGTTTTTAACAAATACATTTAAAAAAAATATTGAGCATCTAGTGTTAGCAATTAGCTCTCTACCAAAGCATTAAGGAACCTCTGTGTTCTCTAATTCCCCTTTAGGTTTTTACATTTACTTTGAAATTTCCAAGATGCTCCCAACATTCCACCATGCTCTCAACGAGATGCTTAAAGCTTTGCTCTCTACTGCTTTTTCACAGCCAGAGCGCATCAAGCTGACAGTGTTTTATCATCTGCATAAAAGGATGTTAGTTACCAGCAAAGCTAAAATCTCCAGCTGGAAACACAAACTGGTTATGGAAGCATTCAAAATCAATAGCACAGCCTTTAAATGTGTATATACTATAATGTGTTCACTCCTTTAGGTATTTTCTATCGGTCATGTGTTTTCCTCATCTCCACTGTAATATGTCTACAATAGCCTGTAGCCTACATTATCCAAGGTTTAATGCAATGTTTATTTAAAACAGAAAGCATTTAACATTGTTCTTCATAGAGGTTGAAGTAAGCAGATTTTACCTGCAAAATATAGTCTGAACCATTCTTGCAAAGTATCACATGTTGAGCTTGTAAGAAATGTTATTTGCCTAATCTGTAATTTTCTACCAGTTTGCAGACATTTAAAATTTGTAAAAAAAAAATAGAGTGAAGTGAGGGGTGGTTTAAGATTTTTGCACAGTACAGTATTAATAAAAACGATAAAAAATTAGAATACAATGGGAGCAGTGACATAAACACAGATATTGTTAATGATGTAAAACTAAGTTCCATCTATAAACTCAAAATGTTTTTTAATGCAGCACTTGCAGAGCACACATATACTAGTTTTTACTTGATGTAACCCAATTCTCTGTATGAATACTCAAGTTTTTTTTCTCATTTTCCTCAGAAAATTACACCAGCAATATAATATACTGGAATTTATTTTGCACCTTAGACTTACATTGCAACATCTCAGTTAATTAAAATATATTTAAAAACAAAATGTATTTATTTTAATAATTGAGCTCAAAAGGTGAAACTCACTTTTGGAGTTTGTGTAATGGCTTACAGCTCTTAAAAATCCCCCAATTTTGAGTCTTAGAAAACGAAGAGTACATCCAAGACATTAGTTTTTTAAACCAACATGCCGTATGACACCTTACGGTAGATTGCTGATCTGAAAGTTTTCCAGGAGTCATTAGCACTGTCCATTCAAAGGTTAGCCACAATAACTCACGTATAGAGGGCAGAGTGGAAGGAAGTACACAAGCTATAAGGCTAATTAGTATTTAGAGGATTGAAAGCTAAAGCCAATATAAGATGTTGGGTACATAAATGAGGTGTAAACTAACTGTTGTATTTCTAGCATTAGATCCTTAATGGGAAGCAAAGACTGTTGCTCAGTGGTTTAAAGTCACCTTTAAAGATGTAAACTAAGCTTTGCATTATATTTGAAAATGAGGGTCGAAAGATCTTGAGTGAAGTGGCCACTGTCAGAGAGGATTTGGAAAGCCCTGTCATGATGCTCCACGTCCAAAGTCTTCATTTTTTTGCTCTCTGCCATGAAAACACGAATTTTAAACATCTCTCTGCTTTATGGGCCAACATTCTGGTCTGACATAAACCACATAGAGCATCAGTTTAGTGTCATCAAGAGAAATATGGGACATCACTATAATGCAGATAAACCACGTTATTCCCCTGATCACCTCCATCCCTGCACTGATGCCGAGCTCCAGTCAGGACACTATGGAGTGCATAATGTGCAGTAACTGGACAAACTCTTTAAAGGGTTCTGTAACAAAATCTTTCCTAATGGTGTGCTGCAGTATTCCCAGTTTCAGAGAAGCTTAATTTTGGGTTTTTCATCAGATGTAAGCCATAAGGATCAAATTTAACACAAAGGCAGTGTGGAACTAATTTGTATAATAGACTCACATTTAAAAACTAAGTTATTATTGCAGTAGGGCTGTAATTAGTTACCCAGACTGGAAGAATTGCTTTATGGACAAATAAAACTATTTTATCTCCTTTTATTGCTCCCCTCTTTCAGCTGTGCTGGCAGCTTTAGTCTCTAAAAGTCTCTTTTCTTTTCATTCCAAATGGAGGTCAACTTTGGTTCTCCGAGTCTTTGGTTTTAGATACACAAGTCTTAATATCGCACTGTGATAAAATGATCCAGTTAACCTGTAACCTTTAAGCCTTGACTTCATTGCACTTAAGCTGTTCCTACTTTTAGCCCGTTGCCTACTGCAGCCTGTGCCATATCATCTCAATCAAAAAATGCTGTTAGATTCAAGGTTTCCTTTGTATCCATGCCCACAGCAAAACTATGTAACAATAAAAAGGCTCATTGAAACAACTTTGGGACTGTTTTTAATCATCCTTCTGTGATATTGGATTTAAGCAGAGAAAGAAAAATTCACATATGACACTAATGAGGAAAATCCATGAAAAACGTAATCTTTATTCTTTTAGTCCACAAAACCCATGCTTCAAGTTACTTAAAGTTCAAGGGTGTGGGAGGTGGATGACAGGCTTGCTGGTATTGCTCACGCAGCGTTTTCCTTTGTAGTGTTTTCCTCACAGACCTCATTTGGTCTTCTTTAAGTCATCTATACATCAATGTCTGGGTTTACATGTAAATATGGGTTGCTTTTTTTTCTTTTTTTTTTACCAAACAGCAAAAACTGAATGAAGCTAGCTAGAAAAAGATAAAGGGAAAGATGGGAAATGAAACCAAGCATCACAAAAAGCATACAACAAAAGCTGATCAAGTCTCAACAACTCCAGTGCAACCCAAAACACATTCTGCTTTATTCCATCTAAAAAAAAAAAGGGCTCATAATAAAATTATAGTTTGAATTTGTCTATTACCCTAATATTTTATGTGCGTTCTCCCTGACCCTTTTGTTTAGCACAGTACCTTAAAATTGTATAGATAAATTACAAACATGGAGTATTCCCTTTCCACTCAAAAGGTTTTTCTTTCCAAAACATCTAATAAATGACAGGCTTATGCAGGCTTCGTCTTATATTGCTACATTTTCAAAACAAAGATCAACAAAAGGAATTACTAGTTTTGCATATATTCTTAGGTTCATGGTTTGGTGTGCAACTTCAACAGTAATGTCAAATCAGCTCTAAAATAGCACCACAACAAACAAACAACCCCTCAACGCCTGGAAGGTTAAGGCGGTTTGTTTAAAGTT